ATTTTAAATAGGGATAATTTTTAATGATTTTAATAATGTCACAGCTACAAATATTCGGTTTTAATTGGCTTTTATAGGGGAAATGTTGTGTGTGTTGTTTGTATTGTGTTATTTTAATATGCTGTGAGCCGCCCTGAGTCCCGTGGGGAGAAGGGCGGCATATAAATTATGAAAATAAATAAAATAAATAAATAAATAAATCAAATTTTCTTTTACAGCTTCCCTGACATTACAATACTTAATGTCTACATGTTTACTTCTGTTCTTCACCCTGTCACCAGTTGCCATTTTTATACAGGCAGCATTGTCTTCAAATACCTTTACAGATTCTTTTACATTAATATTTAAATCTTGCAACAACTGTACATCATTATTTGGCAATACCTTTTTCTTATATACCCACTTACAACCCACAGCTTTGATTCCCTGTGGCAAAGTCACTGATTTAAATACTTCATGGTCTCCCATGGATTTCATCTCTTTATCCATGGCCTCCTTCCATCTTTCTTGTTCAGATTTTGGTAATGCCAACACCTCTTTATAACTTCTTGGCTCATACCACACATTGCAAACCTTTACCTTGCTGGCAGAATACCTGTCAGGCGGAATTCCTTTGTTACATCGCTCTGACCTACGTGGTATTAACTGCTCCTGTGTCTCAAGTCTTTCTGGCTTCATTTCTTGTTCAGCCTCTCCTCCCTGAACATTGACATCTTCAATAATCATCTTTCCATCATTAGATGAGTTATTGTCACTAAACAGATCACCGTCATTAAGTGAGACATACCCAGAATTTGCATTAATTCTGTCCCAATTTTGTTCTGCAAAATTAGCAGACCTTGAAATTACAATTCTTTTACTTCCATCGTTAAAACGATATCCTTTTGACCCTGGCTCATAGCCCACAAACCTGAGCTTTCTTGCCTTTTGCTGACCCTTTCTTCTGATTGCTTTCGGAATTATGTACCCATGCAGTACTTCCAAAAATTCTCAAATGTGCCAGTGATGGCTTTCTCCCATATAGAATGGCATATGGAGTATTATTAATGGAGGAACTCCACAGCCTGTTAACTATATAATTGGCAATCAATATGGCTTCTCCCCAATATGACCTGCTCATACCAGAATCCTCTAACAATGAATCTTTCATTATTTGCAAAACACCATTCCTTCTTTCAGCTACACCATTCTCTGCTGCTGAGTAAGGATTTGTACGTCTGTGTCTTATCCCCAACTGCCCCAACCATTGTTGGAATTTAGTTGACATAAATTCAGTACCTCTGTCAGTTTGCAACTGACACACTTGTTGTCTATATCTTCTCTCTACAAAACTTACCCACTGTTTGAATTGTTGTAGCACCTCTGTCTTA